AATTTTTTTATTTTCTATACATATTGTTTTTTTCCATCTATGCAAAGAAACAGCAGCGCTCTTATTTTGAAAGTTCAGTTACTGCTAATTCCATGAGAATTCTTTTTACTTTTTTTTAAAAATGTAGTTATTCACAGTTTGGTCTGTTTCGGTCCTCCATATTCACATGTTATTCACATCAAATTTCTGTCATTAGAAAGGGTGCATGAGTGGAAGCGGCTCGCCTGCTGTCATGTGGTCTAAAAGTGACTGTGTGAAGAATGAAAACCCCGCGGGGTGCTGCAGTCTACCCTCTGTGGATTCTTTTGTTTTTTTTCCTCATCGTGCTTTGGATATTTCTTCTGTCTCTTCCTCTCTTTCAATCATTAACAGTCGTCTTTCTGTTTCTTTCCATCCCTTCGTTTTATTCAAGGCGGCCTTCAGGACGCTAACACACTTGGTTTTTCCTCCATGTTTTCTGTTTGTAAGTAGCCATCTAACCTCCATCTTTTCTTTTCTTTTTTCCCCCCCTCATCCATTCTTCCGCCATTGCTCCCCCTTTGTCCCAAGAGGTCCAGATATGTGCCATATTCATATGACGAGAGTATGTGCAAATATCTTCTGCTTTAAGGTGACATCTGCAAACAGTTTTATTTTGTTTTTTAAATCATGCTGGTGGCTGATCCAAATGCCCACAGTGAGTTAGAAGGAAGAGCTCAGGCATCTTTTGCATGTTGTCACATTAAAGCAGCATGAAGGTGTTCAGGAAACAACTTGTTTGGATTGTTTTAGAGCACAATCCAGATGAGGGTCTTACTTTCCAGCACACAGATGTTATTTCTGATGCGTTTATCCTTTTCGGTAACGTGAAAGAGAACAAAAACTCACCAGGAAGCAGTTTCCTTCTCACAAATGTGATGGTAGTTGTGACAGTAACTGTTACAACAAGCTCGAGGCAAATTGCTGACAGATGCTCAAGTGTTGTAATCAATTTAACGTAATCTGGCTGAAATCTAACAAACCGCTGTGGGAAGTCGCAGACTTCCCACAGCGGTTTGTGGGAAGTTGCACAAATGAGGAAGTGGTGCAGTTTCTCATGAAAGGCATTATCAGCTCTGTACAGCTGATATCCTTCTCTGTATTCTGACACTTAGGCTAACGATCGCATCTTTCACATGATGTCAAAGTACCGCTCGTGTCAAATATGGGTCTTTGCAAATTTTTGCGTTATTTCAGTGAGTGCCTTCTGCCTGACGCCCTCAAAATCAACTTTGTACCATAACTTACAAGCTAAGTTTAACCTTCATACCATGGAATTTGGCACTATTTTGGTGTTTGTTTATTTTTTGATAACTGAAAAGCACATTTAAGTCCAGAAGGAAACACGGGTTGAAGGTGAGCCTGTTATCAAACTGAGGATAAAAAGAAGACCTCGTTTTGAGCAGCCACATATCCCACATGGTAATCTGACCCTTGCAAATTTAGCCAAGTTTGTTTTTTGGGGTTTTTTTAAAAAAAAAAAATTTATATGGATCGAACAAGCTGTATCGAAATATTGACTTACACCGATCAGCCTGCCCCAGCCTACTACTCTACAAACCCTGATGACAAAACCTCAGTGACCAAGTAGGGCGTGGACTCTGCAGTGTTTTTTACCAGAGGAGTCATTAAAATACTTATTTAAAGAGGTGGCAGCAACACACCACTGGAAAACATTCAAACACACCCTGACATCTTCGTAGAATCACAACAAGCATAACGTGCAACAATAAACACTCCACGAATGATGTAAAGTCCAACACAAACAAAGAGCAGCACACACAAACAGTAAGACCTGCGGGTAGAAACAAAAAAGAAAACGGCAGCTGGAGGAGGATCGGAGGAAAGGAGGTGCACAGGAGCATAGTAAGCAACAGATAGATGATGGGGAGGTCACAGGGTGACAGATCTGAAGAATCTAGAGGCAGGGAACACTTTGGGCTTCATGTAATCTGTAGATCTATAATTCAGTGTAATTCTGGCGTATTTAATACATTCATTCGTGCAGACCTCCCTCTCACTGGCCACCTCCTCCAGCTCCTCTAGGGATGGAGGTGTTCACTGGCCTTCCCTGGGCCTTATACATTTAAATCATCTTTATACACATCCAAATGTGGATTTGGGTAAAAATCCATATTTGCCATCTTGCAGTACAGAAACAGGCTTGCAGACAGACGATGCACAGAGAAAAGTGAAACAAAGTAAGACTAAAATAAATCAAATAAAGCTTCAAATTACCGAAACAAATTCCACCTGCAGGCTGAAGGTGTTTATTCGCCATCATCGGCTTAATTTAGGGACCGCTACACGCCATCCTGCCCGTGTTGTGCTGCGTTCGGCTGGGCTGCTGCATGGTGGCGTCTAATAAATTACTCCACAGCAAACAGGATTCTCAGCTGAATCGAGACATCCTTTTGCCACGTAGTCCCCTCTTAGAAATCGTTAAAATTCAAATCTTCTCCTTTTTTAAAATATTTTTTTATTATTCCTTCAGTCAGTGAAGGGGACGAATCAGATTAAAGCAAGCTGTGTTCATTTTAAATTTAGAAAAAGACTCTAAGAGGCACGTTTTATTCATTTTTAATCCCTTTAGGTTGCAATGCATATGACAGTTTAGCGAAACAAGACAAAGATCAAATTTTGTGATGTGTAAGGGGGTCGTTCTGTGTGGCGTTGTGATACGTTTGGCTTTTGTGGACCTGCTTTTCCTCCCATGCTGACCCCTGTAATAGTCCGCGGATACGCAGACCATCACAGCGACACTTCTTTTAGTTACTAATGAGCAGAGTGATGCAGTTTTTTGCATGATGGTGACACTAATTCGTTGTAACTCAGGGCCCTAACACTGTGTGCCGCCGAGTGCTGAATGGCGTGGACTTATTTTAAGGCTTGAAAAACTGTGTGCCAGTGTGGACTCCAACTGTTTACTGCAACCAAACACTGCAGAACCACAGTAATCAGTGGCCTCTGCTGTTGTTTTGTTCAGTTAAAATCACCCTGCATTGTGGCACATGGCTGCCTAACACTGCTGTTGTAGTGGTTAGTCACAAAATTTGGAATATGGTGTATTCGTCTGTGATGGTTTGATTTCCACCCTCCAGGTTCGGTGCACGCTACCTCCATAGCAGCCAGTCGTGTGGAGCAGGCTCTATCCGAAGTCGCCTCCTCTTTGCAGAGCAGTGCCCCCAAACATGGACCCCTGCACCCCTGGATGACCCTGGCTCAGATCTGGCTCCATGCAGGTATCCTCTTACTCATTCGCAGCGCATGCATGAAAGTTATTTTATGCCTTAATAATTAATCATTTTGTAACTGGCCGTCAAATACAGCAGGGCACTGTCTGCTCACCTCTTTCGCTGTGGCTTGTGGTCGATATTTGCTTCATCAGAGAATCAGATATGAGGTCAGAGTGAGTGCACCGGCATCAGCCTCCAGGACTTTATTGAAGAGCAGTTTGATTAGATATCTACTGGATATATTAGATTTCCCCTCACTTGAGCTCAGATTCTGATTTCAGCGACCAAGACAGACTGCGGTGTCCACACAAACAGACACACACACTCGGGCTGAGGTAGTTTGTCCCCTTGTTTATCTGTCCAGCTGCTTCCTGTCAGGGTTGGCCATGTCCAGCCCGGTGATATGGCTAATGTAATCAGCCAGTTCAGGCTCATTTCCTCCGTCTCTACTCGTATCATTCTGTCTTCATCACACCAGCGCAGTGAAAGCATCAGCTGGGCATGAAGTGAAGTCTTTTTTTTTTTTTTTTTTCTGCTCATGCAGCTTGAAGGGAAAAATGTTTTTATCCTTTCTTATTTTCTGCATCATGTTAAGAGTATTGCCGTGTCCGTGCAGCAAAAGCAGTCCAAAAGTCACATTTAATTAGTCGTTCAAACAAACAAACGCACATATGTGCAGGACATATATGATGACGGCAGGCCAGTGGCGAGATATAGATTACACGTCAGGCATCAGCTCTGAGCCCCTTTTTGTTTGCAGTGGTGATGGACAGGCTAACGGATGAGGTCAGGCAGGAGTCTCTGTGGACGATGATGGACTTTGAGAGTAGGGAGCAGGTGGAGGAAAGTCTGGGGAGGTGGAGGTATGCTCTGGAGTGAGGAGGAATGGAAGTCAGTAGAAGAAAAACTGAATATATGTGTGAGAATGAGAGAGAGAGAGCAACGGGTGTAATAGTGAAGCTGCAAGGAGTGTAGGTAGAGAAGGTAGATGAGTTTGGAGACAAAGTTAGGCTGAGATCGTTTTTTGGACATGTGTGGAGGAGGAGTAGCGGATATACTGGACAAAGGGTATTGAATATGGAGCTACCAGGCAAGAGGAAAAGAGGAAGACCACAGAGGATCAGTATGTCAGTAGAAGATGCTGGGATAGGGTGAGATGCAGGCAGACTGTAGCCAGCCCCATAGGGAGCAGAAAAAAGAAGAAGATGATGAAGAATGTCGCATTACGTCCACAAAAGATCAACAGATACGAGAGATCATATATCATCAATATGTGTAAACTTGCACCGAATGGGCTTCGGATGCTTTGAGGAAAAACATGGAACAAAAATGATCACAGTTGGAGGAATTTGTTTTTTAGCCCTGGAGGTTCACAGTGTTTCTATCAGTTTGAAATTCTGCGTGTGTCTCTGTTGAACAGCTGAGGTGTACATCGGCATGTCAAAACCTGCTGAGGCCACGGCTTGCACGCAGGAAGCCGCCAACCTCTTCCCCACGTCCCACAACGTCCTCTACATGAGGGGGCAGATAGCCGAGCTGAGGGGCAACATGGACGAAGCCAAGCGCTGGTACGAGGAAGCCCTGTCCATCAACCCGACTCATGTCAAGACCATGCAGAGACTGGTAAGACACTCTGTCCTCCACCTGCCCGCCTGCAGTGCCCTCACACCCTGACGGGTTTTGTGTGTTTTTATGTAATTACCTACAGTCTGCCAGGACGGTTAAACCTCACCTGAGGAGAGCAAGTTTGTTTTTTGTTTTCAGTCTGCTCCGTCTGCCCTTGTCACTCATTCACTCATGTTGGCAGGCCAGAAACGAACAGACCTGCTGATGGAGAGAGTAACACACAGATATTCTCTCCAGTGACAGCACGGCAATGGCACCTGAAGGCGGATCAGTACCTCAGTAGCCAGTGTGTCCATCTGACCCGAGTGAAGATTAAAATGTTTTCATGCATTTGGAGGCTTTTGACAATTTGTGTAGTTGGTATTTTAGCTTGAAAACTGGATTTTGTCTTGGTAATAGTGGGGAAAGTTTCGAGCTTGCATGTGTGTCTGCAGGAAAAAGATGGTGTAGTTGAACATGCCTATAAAGAAAATTGGCTTTTTCTCCAATTTATTCAGCTTAGTTAATGTTAAGTGATAATCTAGCAATAGATGATAAAAGTGAAATAAAGAACTGAGCTGACTGACCCACGGTGGACCATCAGTCTGCAAAAGTTAAATCAGGTAAATCAAAGGAAGTAAAAGCCGAGACTAAAACGAAAAGCACATGAAGAGTACTAAAAAGAAAAGGAGAAGAGATTAAAAGTCCAGTTATGGAACAAAGAGAAGAAAAAGAGTAGGTTGGAAAAAAAATATGATGCAACCTTAAGTTAAGAGCAACTAAAAACAGGAGGAATTCATGTTTATTTATGAAAGTTAAAAACAACAGGAGTTCAGTCAGAGTGCTTTCCAGTCACGAATAAACAGAAATAATCCAGACAGGATTCTTGGTGTGCCTGGCATCGTTATTAGTTTAAAGGGTCTCCTTCCGGGCTACTCTGCTTATAATCACTTTTTGATAATCTGCGGAGGTCATGAGGCAGTGAAGCAACCCCAAACCAGACGATTTCATCACCTGCAATGACGCCAACTTACAAAGAAGAAGAAGAAACACTTCCCTCATCATACTCACTCACGCTACTGTAAAAAAAATGGACGGCAACCTCTTTGTGACTGGAAGAAGTCGGAGATTGCCAGTTGTGGTGATCACTGGGACACCCTCGATCTTCGACCGCTTTCGATTGGGGTCGCCTTTTGGGAGGCAACCTGTCTCCAGACTTGGACCAACTGCAGTCATGTTCACAAATAATTTGGGTCACGCTGTGGTCTCCAGCCACTGTTTTCCATCGTTCTGTTTCCATGGGGTTAAAATTCTGTTAAGACACGTGGTTGACAATAAGACGCACAAAAAATGGTGGGTGGCACCGAAAAGCACAGGTGTCAAACGTAAGGCCCGAGGGCCAGAATCGGCCCGGCGGAGCCTGCAAGAGTTTTATTTTTAGTGGACAGTCTCAGGAATGAACTACCAAAAGATGAAAGTTGGCTGTACGTGGCCACCCGTGTAAAAGCAGTTTGATATTGCTGCTGTAAACTAATTCCTTGTAACACGGGTGTCGATAAAGACCAAGTGGCCACTCGAGGAACTGCACATTTTGGCACATTAGCTTTGGAGGTGGCTGTCCCTCAATAATACCCTGTTGAAGATTACTTCCATTAGTTTTTCCCATTTGCTGAATTTGATCTCCATAGCTCTCATGCAAGGAAAAAAAAGGGAGTAGAGAGCTCAGACCCAATGAAAATCATCATCTTATAACTGGAAGTGTGTAAAATACGGCAGGTAGTTTGCGGTAGAAGATAAATGACACGGCGCACTGTGTAAATTTGAATCTCTGGTTTAAATTCTTCATGAATAATAAATGTTAAAAGTGAGAGGAGGGTGGCTGTTACCGATATTAAATGTAACTTTAGAGCTTCTTTTTAAATAAAGCCAACTGCTGAATCATTGACACACAGCATGATTTTTTTAAAAAAGGGGGGATGTTCTCTTCTTCTCTTGTTGTTTTCTCTGTTGCAGGGTCTGATCCTGCACCAGCTGCAGCGTTACAGTCTTTCGGAAAAGGTGCTGAGAGACGCCGTGCAGGTGAACAGGTGAGTTTGTTTGTGTTTAAACAAGGTAATGTTTGTACGTTTTCTCTTTTAAGGCACCTGTGGTTCAACATTTTTCTATTTCCTCACTTCTTCCTCTTTCCTTCCCACTTCCTCTTACATCCCTTTAATTTCTCCTCTTCTTTTACTTCTCCTCCCTCTTTCTATGCTGCTGTTCTCCTCTCATCCTTTTTTCTTCCTCTTCTTTTTTCTTTGCTTTCCTCTCCTCGTATTTCCCATCTTCTCGCTTCCTCACTTCTCTCCTTGCCATCCCACTTTCCACCCATATCCCTCTACTCTCATCTCTTCTTCCTCCCCTTCTTTCCTTCTCATCTTCCATGTTTTTCCTCTCCACTATACTCTTTCCTCTACTCTTCCTTCCCCCCTTAAATTTGTTTCTGTTCTTCCTCTTGTGACCTCTTCATCCCTCTGTCCTCCTCAGCACGGCTCACGATGTGTGGAACAGTCTTGGCGAGGTGTTGCAGGCTCAGGGAAACACCGCCGCCGCCACTGAGTGTTTTCTCACCGCCTTGGAGCTGGAAGCCAGCAGCCCCATCCTGCCCTTCACCATCATTCCCAGAGCGCTATGAGAAAAACACAACACAGAGCATGCCTGCATGCCACTTCACAAACACACACACACACGCACAGACCTGTGAAAAGGTGTACTGCCAAACCCTCACACACACATAAACTCAGAGTGTATATAGAAATGCAAAGAGTACAAATAAACAGGCTTCCCTCTGTCTACCCGTGCTTCCCACAATGCCTTTCTTGTGGCCACGTCTACGTGAGTGTGCGTGTCTCCTTCCCGCGCTGCGTGTTGTCTCCTTCGTCAGATTCCGTTCAAATCATTATTCTCAGAAGCCTGAAAGTTGTGTTTACATGTTGTTTAGTCCAAATACACACACACACACTCTGAGCAGTTTTAACATAAATGGATTAGATTTCCTTTAAAAGCCAAATATGCATTTACTTGGTACTGTTCACATCGATGCAGCAGAAAACACTCTTTCAAAAGTGGATGCAAGCGCCAAAACCTGTCCGTCCCACTCCCTTCCTGTTTTTTTTGTTGTTGTGTTTTTTTCTTATGATGATTTACGGAGTTCAGCAAGGTGAGAGAGCACCATACAATTTAGAGCCACCAGTGGACCCTGTTTTCAGTGGGTTCATGTCTTCATTTTTAATCCCTCTCCCTGCCCTGCATCTTTTCTGCTTTCTGATAATTCATCAGATAAAACTCTGTGTAGTCTCTGTGTTCTGCCCCCACCTGGTTTAGTCAGTGATAAATATTGCTGTATGTATATGCTTGTGTTTTTTTGTTTGTTTGTTTGTTTTTTAACACTACAAAAACTCAATCCCATTTTATATGCACGCACAAACACTATAGATCAGCAGCAGATCGAGCTGGGGGTCAAACCACTGAGTATTGCCTTCACTGTACTGTAGCCCTGCACCCGTGTTAGCATTGTTAAAATTTGAAGACAGGAACCCACTGTAGTAAATTCAGACTTCTGAGTGGTCAATGGTGTTTGACTCGACACTAAGATCATTTTCCAAAAGTATCTGTGCCACTTTTTGGTGCTTGTATCCACTCAGGAAAGATGCTCGTGTAATGTTATCTGCATCTGCATGGAGGGGGATCGTTGTTACTGTATACCTGGCTCAGGATCAGCCAGGTCTTTAAGGTATCCAGCGGAGCATCGACGGACTTTCACTGAGAAATAAATCGGTGTAAATGCCAAACCTCGGGTTGCATTCGCCCTCACGGGAAATCTGATTTCCTGCAGCTGATTTTAAAGTGGTTTTGTGAAGTTTTTAAGTGAAAAAAATCAAAGTGCCACCTGGAGCAACTCAAACGGCAGCAACGTATAATCTGCGGGAAACTGTTGGAATCTGTGCCACATCTTTCCTCCAGAAATCAGATTTTCTTGTTGAGCGCAAATGCACCCGCAGTGATTGTGTTGTCTTTGTGTCCCATCACCAGATTAATATTTTTATTTCGTTTTTGATTATAAATACAAAGAATTATTGCTGTATATTTCATTGTTCCACTAGTGTATTATTATTTTAGAGAGTAAATTATAACTATTTTCTGGAGAATGATGTTGCTTAGAGAGAGTGAGGTATGAAAGGACATCCTCCTGAGCTCAGGCAGTGAGTCCTTTGTGCTGTAAATGAATGATTATGAAGACCAAGATAATAAAAGTGGATAAAAAGAAGATGTCTGATGCTCTCTGGTTCTCGTGTGTGTGTGTGTGGTACTCCTCCTGGCAGCGACCTTGGGGTCGGCGGTGTGTGTTACTTTCTCAGGTGTGTGTCTGTCAGCAAATCGACGCGTGCTCCTTTGTGTGGTTTTTATCAGAGGATTACAGCGCTGACAGGTTTTGTCCTGGAGTGCCAGGAAGCCCCCGCTCGGTCTCTCCCGCCCGCCCAGTCCTGAGGTCTCTGCTGGACTCTCAGGTGTCACTAGAGGTTAATCTCTCATAAAGGTCATCACCAGGGTCCAGGTGTAAACGTTTGCACAATTCCTGCAGTTACTGCCACAATTTCAGTTTAAAAATGACACAAAGTACTTGCTCACTAGGGTTTCTTATTATTAGCTAGTGCACAAAATGAAGCTGGTTGTAATTCGTTTCAATTGTCCAAAAATGAAACTGCAGTCCCTCTAATGGCCACGTGAGGCTGGCTCCAAATGTGAGTCCATCAACAGGACAATAACTAAATAAAAGCGAATGCATGAGGGCATAATGTACTGAAGCTTTCATCAACGAATAAAAGCAAGATGACAATATTCTCGAATGACGAAAACCAATCTAGAACTAATTAAGTTGTGTAGAAAGGCGGGACAAGTTTGGAAGCGGTCCAATCAGAAATAATCTCTATGTGCATTAAGGTTAGGCAGCAGCAGATTTGATCTGCTCCTGGGAAACAGTACAACAGGCCCAGTGTTTCTCATGAAAATACAACAAAATGAACATTTAAGGAAAATAAGACTCATTGTAAACCATGTGGAGCAATTGATAAAGACACAACAAACTTTACACTCACATTTAGTCTGCTATAAACTTATCATGTTTATTCGGCTAAAACTGAAAGAATTTAGATGCCTAAATTATAACTAAAACTAAATCAAAACCCCCCGGCAACCACAGGTCACTAAGAAAAAATGTTTACTCTTCGACCAGTTGCCAAGTGGTTGCTGGCGGTTGCTAGGTTGCCACGGTCACCTGCAGTCTGCGTGAGTGATGCGAACTTGTCTGCAAACACCGCTGCAGCAATCATATTTCTAAAGGAAGGGCGTTTACTTTG